TAGTAGTAACAAGTGCCTTACTACTAGTAACAAGAAGCTCTTAGAAACAAGTGCCACGCTAGTAGTAACAAGTGCCTTACTACTAGTAACAAGAAGCTATTAGAAACAAGTGCCACGCTAGTAGTAACAAGTGCCTTACTAGTAGTAACAAGAAGCTAGTAGTAACAAATGCCACGCTAGTAGTAACAAGTGCCTTACTAGTAGTAACAAGAAGCTATTAGAAACAAGTGCCACGCTACTAGTAACAAGTGCGGCACCGGAAAGGCTTTGCTGTTGGTTTCGCGACTTGCGGGCGAGTCAGGGCCGCGCTCAAAGGCCCTTGTTCGTAGAATTGGTATTGAAAGCACTTAGGGGGTTAGAATCAACAGCTTGAATCAAGGCTTTGTTTTTGGTAGCATTGTGAGCAAGACAACAGTCACTAACAAAACATCGTCTTACGCGGAGCTCAAGCGGATTTGCTACTGACCAGTTTTGATCGATCCTGGTCTCTCATCTTTCATGTCTCTGCTTATTGCCATCCTTCAGCAAGGGAACCCGATTACCAACTATTGTAACATTGTAACCAATGATTTCCGACTTTGCTTGCGCAACATGTGCTCTGAAAATCTCCTTACGCGAGCGATCCAGTGTTTGGCTTACGCGAGCAAGCCTTGTGACACAACCCTTTCATCTCATGACTACGGAGGTGCTGGCCCTTGCTCAGGTCGTTTCGGTCTTCTACCAAAGACCCCTACACCCACCACTGGCACAATCTTTTGACTGCAGTGCGTGCACCACAAATCAAGGCAGCTGATACTGAAAAGCAACAAACCACGTGTTTGGAATATCGACAGGGCTGCTGCTTCTTAATTTGCAATTTGCTTTAACACCGAGCACTAGAGCGATGCGCAGCACGATGGAGCATCGCTCTAGTCCTGTCCAAACGGTCGTCTCGTCCTGATTGACCTGGACGACAAAAGCAATTATGCACTATGAAGCTACAGCTACATCTGGAGAGGAAAAACACATTGTACGTAGGACCTGACGTAGGATCACAGTATATAGCTAATGCTTGTTGTGGAGCTGAATCAAGTAAATACGGGAGCCATTGGAAAAGCGATCTGCAAAGAAAAAAGTGTGGTGGAATCTGGTGGAATCCGCCCTCACACTGCAAAAGCCTTTCTGAAGATTCGCTGTGAACAGTAATCTGAAACGCTTCCAGACTGCAGGCTGTAAGATTCGGCCCCTAGCCCCTTCTAAGGCCACGGGCTGAAGGGAACAAATAAAGCGTGAGCGAGGCAAGCCTCACTTCGCACAAAGCGAAGATCCGGACGAGACTCATCAATACTCTTCCTTATAAGTATAAGATAGTATAAGCCACTGAAAAGAAAAGCTACCGGAAAGGACAAAAGAAAGACAGGTTGATGCAAACACCCCAAAGACATCCAAAGACTCTTAGGTTCAGGCAGCAAAAGCGCCTGATGGCGAGACGTCCCAGGTCACAGGCATGGCGGCAGTACAAAAAGTATCAAACAGTACGTAAGCATGAGTATGGAACGAGAATCGCAATTGTTCTACACTCTACATGCCTGGCAAATCTTGAAGATATGACAGGGTCAAAAGGAGATCCAATGGCTAGATGCACCAGTTTGAAGGGCTTGCAAACACTGGCCTTGCCTTTGCAACTTGACTTCGGGGCAAATTCAACAAGACTCCCATGCACTCCTGACTTCCAACTTATCTCAACCTGGTCGATTTCCTTGGCTTGGAGTCTTGGACAGTTCTTCATGGAACCACTGGTCCCCCCCTCCATGCCTGCAGCTTGGGGTGGCCCCTTCGGAGGGCACCCATGCCACCGGCCAAGTGCGGCCATCGGAGCAGATTCTCACGTTCTATCAAGACCGAAAGACCTGTGTAACATAAGTAGCAAGAAGTATAATGTACCTTGGGTTGAACTGACCATGAAAGCCCAGTGAGCACCGATAAATCAGTATTTTTGTCTCACCACTGCAATGCTGCGGGGCTCTTTTGTCCAACAAGAATGTACGTGATTCTGTCAGTGATGCAGTGATAGCAATGATGTGGGACAAGTACCTCCCCCCCAGAGAAGGACCTTGGCTCCTCTCTCCCAACTACCTGGCCGATCGTCATGCTGCACCCTGATGCTGCCGTCATTTACAACTCCTGATGCTCAGCTTTCGGTGACTTCCAGACTGCGGCCTCCAGCGACGCCTCCGAAGTGCTCATGGGGCTCATGGCCTCCTTAATCTCTCGAAGTGCTCCTTGCGGATCCTCCAGCGACGCCTCCACCCCCGCGAGGCCCCGCTCGTCCGGGCGCAAAGGGAGCCGAGCCCAAGGCAAACCCAAAACCAAAGCTAAGAAGCGGTAGTGCCCAGCAAAGGGTGATGCAAAGCCCAGTTCAAAAACATGACAAGTTGTGGGCGAAAACAACATGTTCACCAAGGCGCCACCATGGAATCCAACGATTATGCATGCCCTTCCAAAGAGCCGGGCAGTGGCTTTGGGCTTTAACTGGCCATTGAAGGTGATGTACTCCAAAGCAACAGAGGGAGCCCACGTCTTGAGCTCTTGAACAAAATCTGCCTCACCATGCAGGACGCTACGCATTTCTCCCTGCTTTCGCTTGATGTATACCAATGCAGGTCGCAGGTGTTCAGTGGCAGATGGGGCGGATGCAAAACCAGCACCCAAGGCATCACGGACATGAAGAAGTACAAATGGAGGTGTTGGGCAGTGTCCTCCGTCTTTTCCAAACTCAACCGGAAGTTCCCAGTTTGCATAGTATAGAGTTTCCTTTCTGGTCAGCATGTCCAACAAAACAAACGGTACAAAACCTAAAGTGTTTGGAGGACAACTTGTTCACTGCTGGATCAACCATCCGTCTTTGTAAAATCTTGTTTGGCCAGAACACCCGCAATTTGAATCAACTGCCCCTTGAACCATACCAGAATAATGCCTGTGGCACCTACATACTAATTATTGTTGTAAATCAATATTGATGAATGACCTCATTTAAATCACCCTTCTACAGATTGAGGAAATTGAAAAACACATAAAAAAAAAAAACTAATTTCTCAGGGAGTAACGGCTCTCAGAAGCACGTCGTTCGGGCCACTGGTCCAGTGAATCAGGCGATTGGCAGAGACCCCCATACCTTGTGTCAAAATCTTGAAACCTGCAGCAAGGAAGCCAAAGGGCTTTGGCAAGATGAGACGCGTCTCGGGGTCATCAAGAATGCCTGCCTCCTTCAATAGCCAAAGTCGGCCAAAGACCTCAGTGATAATGTGGAAGTAGGAGGTGCCTGCAAACTGAACAAGACTTGCAGCCTTCTTCACGAGCATCGGCGTTTCCCAAGCTCCATGATTGGGGGCACGACCTTGTGACACGTCAAACCATCTAAAGCGCGGCCCTCCATGAGGGGCAGGCGGGTCTCCCCAGATTTCCAAAAGCTGCAAATTCTTTGCCAGGTCAACAGCCAAGCCAGCAGAAGCCATGAAAAGTTGACATTCCTTCTCATCCACAATGATCCCATCATCTCCAGAAAGACCTACGTCTCTAAAGGTCGCCACATACGCTCCATGATCGCAATAGTTCTGGCCACAAGACTCATCTCCAAATGTCACCGGTTTTAGTGAAATCAGGGAGCGGCTGAAACCAAGAGCTTCCTTCCATGAATAGAACATGCGGCCATCACAGTCCGATTTCGACCTTCCCCGCTCTTTAAGACCTGCTTTCCACGCATGGAAGGCACTGTCTTGTGATTTTTGGAAGCTTGCCACCGTCATGTTGGTGCTGTCCTCAAGAAAGTGGAAAAGCATAACTTGGATGGTGGCCAAATCGTGATAGCGGCTGGGGAAGCCAGGATATATCTTCAGTTGCTCTTCCACCAGCTTCAAGGACTCAAGCAAATCCCCCTGGCCATGGGCATATAGAGCATCCCTTTTCATGGACACGAGACCATAGCGAGCGTATCGCAAGCGCCCAAGGGCCCATTGTGCCATGGCAGGTTCCTTCTCAGCATTAATCCTTTCCAAGGCTGATTCCCAGGCCTCGATCGATTCATTCAACTGATTTGAGGTCAACATGGCTTGTGCGAAAGCCACATAGGCGTCTGGTTCAGAAGGTTCAAGTTGAACAGCCACTCGGAAGACTTGACGGATTTCGTCCAAGGTGCGAAGAGCTTCTTGAGTTTGACCGGCCCGATGTAGCTTCACTGCTCGATCTAAAGTGCCTTCAATCTTGTCAACTAAAGCAGTGTACTGATTGTACTGACTCGATACCAAGTGGCACAAGTGCAGCAGAAAGCCCAGGATCATCTTCGTGGCCGATTGGCGGCAAGGTCGCATGGTTTTCACATGTTGCTCATTTTCCGTGTCGACTTGGGCCGTCGGCAAGGGCGAAGGTCGTTTCGAATCCCAACCGCAGTTGCCAAAAGTGGAGGTTTGGCCATGACTCGAAGGCAAAGTTCAAGTGATCCAGACCCCTACGGGGCTTCTCTTTTTGGCTCTGCAGCGCCAAACTGTTTTTGGGACACGCGTTTTCCGTCTAAGATCATACACGCGGTCAACAGCAGAACAAACAGCAAAGAGGCAAAGAGCGTCACAATAATGCTGATTCATTTGTGGAACTGACTACTATGGCCTATTGAATGCGATTAGAACTTGGCGGCGACATAATGGGCATAGTGTGAAACCACTTTCTAGAATCTCTCAATCGCTGCCTCCGAGAACACTTTGGAAAGGCTAGCATTTGAGAGCAGCCACTTAAAGCGCCATCCACCGTTCACTTCTGCAAGTTGTTTCGTTCCAGCAGTTTTGCGCTATCCGCATTGTAAGCGCCGAGCAGGATAATTTGCTGTGTAGGATGGAAAACACGGATCTAATCTGCAACTGTTGCCACCTCTCTATATATATATATGTTTTAACAAAACACAACAACACCCATGACGTTTGTGTAGCTGATCTCAACATATCTTAACTAAGAGCAAGTGACAGTATCTAGACCTCCACCATGGCTGCAGCCGGTGCTTCTGGCGCTTGAAAGCGGCCCAAGAAACTACACCCGTGGCACAGTTGGGGCCTCGGTCCAGAGCGAAGAGTTGGATTTAGAGTCCAGAGCGGCGGGGGGGTCCTAGTCTCCTGCCGTGCTATTGAATCTTTTCCAATTCGATGTCCTCATTTTCAGTGCACAGCCCAATGGTGCATGTGACATGTCACAGAAACGGTCGGCATTTAAGGACGCCGCATTTGCCGGCGAAGCATTACTGCTCAGTATCGCTGGGGAAGCATGACCGCTCAGCCCGGCAAACTGCGCGGTGTCCGCGGTGTCAGGCTCAGGTGGCTCCAGAACAACTAACACATCATATTACACAGCAGAACAAACACAACCTTTCCATACCTTTCCAAATTTTGCAATGATCAAACAATGTGCTCCCTGCCCTCTGTGTATGTCTGCGTGATCCTCAAACAGCCCACCTTGCTTGGGTCCATCGCTGCTGAAAGGTCAACGGGTGGCACTTCTTGCCAATTCATTGGTGTACTTGGAGGAGCCTGGGTGCAAGAGTGATGTGCCAGCAGCATTCCTCTACTCACTTTGATGAACAAAATCACATGCATCATGTGTCATATTGTTTCATCACTTTCTCATTCTTCCACAAAATGTCAGGTCATCAATGTCAGGTGCGCAGAGTCTGTTTAGTCAGCAGAGCTTTTTTGGGACGTGTCCAGCTCTAGAGACTGCAGGCATCATGGGGTGGTCTCTGCCAAGGCTGAGGCGCGCCTCGCCTGGTTGGTGGGAAAGTGAAACTGACTGATTCCAAGCTTGGCATTCCAATAATAGGGTTTTCCAGTGGTTTTGGACTTCATTTGCGTCCATCCTTCTGGCAATGGCAAAGGTGCTGGAGTGAACGGGTTCACTGTCGGTGTCATTGGTGCCGCAGGCGTGGCCGAAGAAAGGCCACCATTCTGAGGAGCAGCCGGTGTAGCAAAGGAAAAAGCCGCAGCCGGGGTGCTCGTACCTGGCTTTGCCTCAAGAGGATCATCAAAGGTGGTTTCTCCTGTCATAGTATTCACAAAGTAAACACCGTCTCCACTGGATTTCTTTACTCGGATCCAGTTAGGTGGCAACTTCGGGAGATGAGCAAACTGGTCCTGTTCCCGAGCCCAATCCATGACTCGCTTCGGTTTGGGCTTCGGCACACTGGCATTCTCGGATGGTGCCGGTGTGACATCACCTGGCGCCCCAGGCGTGGTCGCCTCCCGGAGAGGCATCCGGGGCGACAAAAGAGAAAAGGCGTCGCCGTCGCCTTCGCCGAGTTTTCGTTGGACCATCTTGAGCGCTTTCTCAAAGCCACGCTCGAAGCCGTTTCGGAATCCCTCCTCCATCTCGTCGAGGTCTGCTTGCCTGGGCCTCTTTCTTTGCACCTGCTCTGCCTTCACCGTGGATGTGGCAACCTCTTCCTTTATCTCCACCTTCACTTCGGAGCCCAAGAGGTCCAACAGTTCCGGCTTCACTGCAGACTTCTCGCCAGGCCCATTCACCGGTTCCGGGGCCTCCCAGAGCTGCCGATCAATCTGTTCCAAGTTCTCTTTCACTTTGGTATAGGCCTTCTTGATTTGTGGAGGTGACCCAGGTCCCACCATCACCTTCGGCACCGTCTTGTCAATGGTGATCGACACGCCGCCCGTCTCTTCCTCCATGGTCGCCTCCCAGCTTGGCAGTTCCAAGAGTTTCTTCACCAGCTCTGGTGTGATCAGCACATCTTTGGAGACTTCCACCAAGGGTGTCCATTGACCAGTGAAGAGCAGCTCTTTGGCTGTAAAGGCTCGAAC